ACAAGAAAGTTTGACGAGAGTATTTTAAAATTAACGAAAAAAGATATTTAAAAATAATAATTGTTTATTTTCAAAAATTGGAAAGTTATTTACAAAAAAATTTTTCATTATTCAATCTATATTATTATTTAATTATTCAACCTAACTGTTATATATTGCATCAAACTGACTTATGTCTCAATAATAATTTATCGCTAAGTTGAGCTAAAATTCTAAACTAATTCTAAAAATATTCATTATATAATTTCAATGAAAAATATTTTGTAAATTGTCACGCAATTATGTATCAGTAATACATCTCATATAATTCTCAATTCCTCTTTATTTTAAATTAATAGATAACAACTAGCTACGTAGCTGTAAAAATTGCTCACTGATTTTACAACGAAAATATAAATCACAAAGACGCAATTTAATGTATATATAATTCGCAAAAGTTCATTAATGAAAATAAAAATGTGTGTTACACTAAGGTAGGAATGAAAAACTATATGATGTTTATATTTTGTAATTTTTAAAGGTTTTTTTATAATTTAAAGTTTGCGTCATATAGGTACAAATGGTAATGGAAAAATTCCAAGTCCGAATGTTAATATATGTTTTCTAGATAGTTTAAACAGAAACTAACGCAAAGCGAATATTATAATTAATCAGACCGATTACTCCTTTAAAAAATAGTAGACGTGAAAAATTAGATGAAACGCAGTTACACAGTATGATTTAGAACATGTAGGAAGTATGGCTGGGACTAATTTAACGTATTAAAATAAGAAGTAAAGTTCAAATATATATCTGATATGACTTTCGAGTTTATTATGTGTTGCAATAATTTTTCTGAATCATTCTGTGTATAATGTAATCCAAAGAAGAAACAATTTCGTATAACTTTCTGGAAACTTTTTTTTTGGTCAGATTATCGGAAATGCCTCAAAACTCATGACTACAATTACGTATATTAGTTTAATACAAGAAATAGTTTATATTATGCAACAAAATAGCAAATATTATATTTTTACCGAGATAAAATGTATTTGATCGTTATTATCTCGTGGCAGCGAGCATTCACGAACAATATTACAGTAATAAAAGAGTTAAAATAGATATTTATAATCCATGTCATCAAAGCAATTCATTACTGTGTTTGATGATTATTAAAATGTTTAGAAAAAATGAAAAACCATAAAAACTACAATTGAAAAATAAGTAAATTAAGCGTTTAAATAACCTTGCTGTCTGAAAAGCATTTTGAAATAAAATGAAAAACAAATAAAAAAAACTGCAATCTAATTACGATATTTATTTTATGAAAATAAATAATAAAATGTTTGAATTTAATATTTTAAGGAAATTTTTAATGTTTCTAGAGATATTTGAATTTGTAACATTTTTAAGGGAAAAGCCATCTTGACTTGTCCGTTTACTACATGATGAAAAAAAGAGGATTCATTTTTTAGAATGAAGAGAGAATTACTTTATAATGAGCCCAATTGAATTATTTGCGATTTTTTGTCATGATATTATAGCAGTTTAAATATTAAGAATTTTTGATCCAAAGATCAAAAATTTAGTGTGAAATAAGAAATAAAGGAAAGTAATATTTCTGTAAAAAGATTAAATCTAAGTCATCTAGACGATTTCAATAATTCACTTACTGACTTACGCCGCTACTTACAAAAAGAAATAATGATAAAAGTATAGCGTCAAATGAATGGAAATTTTATGTTCTAGATGTATTTCACCGATTATAATAAAGAAGCCGACTTTACTACCAGCAATTATATTACTAATAATAATCTCATTCTTCAATAGTATGATAATGCTACAGTTCATATTATAATACAACAAGCATTAAAGAATATTTTTCGTTTAAAAATATTGTGTTTTTGAGTTGGTTAGTGTGGTTTCGTGATTCAAATGTCACAGCAAAAGTTGTTTGTAGTTTATACAAAAAATAGGCAATTTAAAGCCACTAATGAATTAGAATAATAGCCTAAGAAAGAACAAAGTAACTGATTGGAAAACTATATTTTCAATTTGTTAGAAAAAAGGATTTCAATTTAGAAAATATACTACCAATCCTATTTCATACGATTTTGCGAACGAACATAACAGGGAGCAGTACATTTAAATTAAATATTACATCACCATAAAATACTATTTATGTAACATTTATTACATTTATTACATGCTATCTCTTTCTGAAAATCTAACATATCAATGAAATAACTAACATTTTCTGTTCTTAATTTTCAATATTGCGAAATTTATAAAATGAGAATAATCATTAAGAATCAAAGTGTCATAGTATCAGTAATACGATATACATTTATGAAATTGAACAATTTTATTTCATCGACAATATGGTTATAAAAAAAATAATTATATCAGATGAAATAATTGTATGAATGAAATATAATTGACCAAAAATCTTTAATATGAGCATATTTTCATTGCGGTAGAATGATGTAACTCTATAAGAATAATGCATTGTCAGAACTGAACGTAGAGGGTTTGTAAAATCCACTTAAATCCAACATGATTTAGTTGGGCACGCGACCTCTGAACTGAATAGCAACATAGCCTTTCTAGTAAGTAACAGAACCTCAAGCTTTTTAGACTGAGAGGAACGGTTAAAAAGCTATTCGCCACATGAAACCACCTCCACTTAGTTATGGTACCACATGGATAAATATAGTTTCACGGCATCTATGTTGGTTAGATTGTCAGTGCCGTAAACTTGTTTTTTTGTATTATGAGAAACTGCATTTAAGAATTTATCCAGTACGCTTTTAACAAAATGTAATTGCTGAAATACTAACCGTGTTTGAAGAAAAAGGTATTCGAAATTATTCAGCTTAAAATTAATAAATGGTAATTTTGTTGAATTTAAAATAAACTGACGAAATTTACTAACATTCGCAATATAAAAGCAAACAAACATATTGCATACACATGCACACGTTTAAACAGATACACAATTCGTTTTATTCGTAATCATTTTTTTTTTCATTTTCGTATTTTAATTAAAACGGGAAAAAATGCAAAGAAAATCACAAATAGGTATACATAATCCTATGATGAGCATAATATGATTAGTAAAAAAGCTTTAACGGAGTTAACTAATGGATTTTAATTTAATAACATAATAAAATAGAACATAAGAAATTATCTGAATATTATGTATACAGGATGTTCGCATTATTTTTGTCCAGCGTTTTTCTCGAAAATGATTAAAAAAAAAAAATGGCAGAGGATAAAATTGTACGGTTTAATATGACTAATACGGCAATTTTTTAATTTTTTATGTTTGCAATATTTTTTACGAAATTAAGGTGATCTTTAATTTTTTCCATACAAAATGCTATTTTTTTGTTTTTTTGTTTCGATTTGTTTGTCATATACAAACAGTTGTTAAAACGAATTCAATCATATAGCAAATGATGTCCTTTAAAGTTATGGAAAGTCAGAAACGAGAGAAATAGAATATTTACGTTGAATCGGACAGTAGTTGAAGCATACGTACATATATATAAATGTAAATAATAAACTCTGTTATTAATAAACTGATAATGATTTCAATTCATTGTCTAGTTTATGTCTACTATTCAGTATTGTCAGACATATCAATAAGTGATAATTCCTGTGTATAATTTTGTAAATATTCCAAAGAGTTCTTTCGAATCACGATATCGTATTATTTAACGAAAGAAAAAGTAGACATGAAGAAAAAGAGAAGAAAAAGAGTAAAAAATCATCGACAAAGTTTATTATTTACAGTTATTATTTATGTATCTATGTATGTTTCAGCTTGTACTCAACTCGACATAAATATTCTAATTTTTTCTCTCATCTTGACCTTTGCTCCACCCAAATCTAATCTACCATACTAAACAAAAGATATTATTTACCATATGATTGAATTCGCCTTAACAGCTGCTCTCATATGACAAACAAAAAAAAATAGCATTCTATATAAAAAATTAAAAATCACTTTCGTAAAAAATATCGCAAACATAAAAAATTCTTATACTGCGTTGATCATAGTAAATCGTATAATTTTGTCTTCAGCTATTTTTTTCTCTTGTTTACTATTTACAAGAAAAATAAAACTTTATATATTAGATTAATTTCACACTGAGTGTCATTCGAAGACAATTACATTTTATTGATTCGTTTATATGTTCCTCTTCTTTTTTTTTAAACTTTCTTATGTTTCTTTCTTATAAAAAAAGTATAGATTCTTGATATGTAAAATAGATTCATCTATCATGAAATTGGTTTTCATAAGATACGATAAAAATATTCCTAATCTTGTATTTAACATCTTCAAATTAAATGAAATGGCTACATTTTGTGAAATATTATGTTTAACCATTTTCAATGCTGGTTCCGCCATATAGAAAAGAATAGGATAATAAAATACGTATAAAATTAGTAGTAATCGTAGGTTTAAATCATTATTTTAGCTGTAATTCGTTTAGTTACACAGATGGCTAGTATAAAGATATGTGTGAAAAAGGAAATGCGGAAAATG